AGAGGATACTTTATTTTTGAGCTCAATAGAGTTGTGTTCAATTGGAGATTGTTTCTTAAGGAATGGATCAATATATTAACTCTTTTTGATGGTACAAATTAGCAAAATTCAGTTCTTTGAATTTCTAACTTTGTTTTCTTCTTTTTCTTTTTTGTCTTGTGGATCTGTTAACTTGATATTAAATTAGCAGCGCCACAAGTTTCTTTTAAATGCGGTACAAAATTGTATTTTGCAGTACAAATTGAGTAATAAGATCAGTCAACTAAATAGGTCAATATATCGTCTTCGATTCTGCTTCATTTGTTTCTGCTTAACAGAGTGGATCATTAAATTTTCCTATTAAATAAAATATTGTTTTAAGACTCTACTCTAAAGAATAAATCATATAATAAAAGAAGCCAATAAAAGTCGATATTGGATGTGCGCGTGTACAATGAATTATTTCTTAACACACTGATAACGTTTTCTCTTGGGATACACTGAGTACAGGTGCAACCTTGCACCACACCATTTGCGTGTAAGCGCTACAATTCAGCTACACTACATTAGGATCTGAAAATTGTAACACTTAGAGACTGAAGTTGTAGATGTAAGTAATGCACAAGCTGGCGTATGACATACGATTTATTGCCATCTCTTGGAGACACGACAATAAATTGTATGTCATACGTGAAAGCTTGTGCGTTACGACTTACATCTACATTCAAGTCTAAGTGTTATGATAATTCTTATACTCAGACCCTTAGAATGCACACCATGATGTACATTACATCATTATTACACTAAAATCCTGTTCTCGTTTGACTTCCATTTTCAAATTTTAAATGTCACACTGGCTCTACATCCTTTGAGACGGTATAACAAAATCCCAAAAACCCCTTTGTGCATAAAATTTGCACTACATTGTAGCCACGTACTGTAAACACAGTACACTGTCCGAGTGTTGCACTAGTGCAGTCAAGAGAAAACGCTATGAAAATATGAAAACCGATTTGCATTTCATTACACACAATGCTACATATCAGACTAGTAATTCTCAAGCTGAGTACAGATAGTGTTGTGTCGACGATTATGGCAATTAAATGTAATGGAGTGCAAATTAGTTTTCATATTTTCAGTGTTAACAAATATTATATATAGTTAATAAATAATTCTTTCAAGATTATGAGGTTATCGTGATAACAAAGAATATGTAATTAAAAGAGTTAAATTTATTAACTTTAAAATTAAAGAATAAAATTTATTAATTAAAAATAAATGAATTCATTTGCTACGTTTGTGTCAAGATGTATCAAGCAATTGGAAAACATCCAGTAATTAATCGTTCTTTATATACCAAATTGAATAATATAGTGTGCACGTGTATAATATTGCGTGCATTTCTGTGAAACATAAATTCCAACTTTTACTCATTCACTTTCATTCATTTCCCCATTGCGATTACATGACACAGACCATTATTGTTAAATCGCAAATATCATACTGATTCTACGATGAGACGGTAGTCGGTTGTCCTAAGTTTCATTAGTGAATCGATGAAGTTGACCATCTTATACGACCGATTTTCTTAAGACTGGTCAAAATCGATTTATTTCTTTCCATTAATCAAGCTAAATGATTCACATGCAATTAACAACTTGTAGATGCAAAAAAAATCATAGTCATTTAGGTTAAGACTAGTTAAGACTTCCGGGGTTTTTACAATTTTACAATGAGTCGGTAGACTGTAATCAGAAATCTAAACCAGTCTTAATCTTAATCGAACAAGTTAGCTATTGGTCAATTGCGATGATTAAAACTTAGGATCATTTAAGATTTTCGATTACCGACTCATTGTAGAACCACAGTTAGATTTTCGACTGCCGATTCATTGTGGAATCATCTTTACATTTGGAGATTTATTGACGAGCATCCACAGTGTGGATTGCTTGTCATTACTATGTGATAATTGATTTTGCGAATAAACAGATTTATCAATAAAAGCAACATACTTACACTTCGAACTGTTTTCACTTATAATTTCTCCTGTATCACAATCGAGAACGACACTCTCAGATTAACTGGGACTAATCTCGATTAACTATTCCGCCTGCTGGTGAATGCAATACTACAATTTGATTCAAGAAAGGCGTTTAACAGAAAAAATAGTTTTGCAATTGTTATAAAATTCTTCAATACGATTGGTTTATACATTTAGATCTATAAGGAATCAAAAGTAAGAACCAATCGTATTGAAGAATTTTACAACAGTTACACAATTACTTTCTCTGAACACAGCCAATGTCATCACGGTCACCATTAATTATCAAAATGGTAGAATTAGACAGGTCGCCATTCCGGCGAATGTGTAGAGTTGAAAGTAGGGATCTGTTAAGGTGCCTTTTTATGCGACATTGGCCTAGTTTTCACTGAGGATTTAATCCGGATCAGGGTCCCTATTCTGTAACTGTCTTACCTTCGTATATTTAGCACACAAGTATAAGATTTCTCATTTTTTTTAATTGGAATAATTTGAGAATAATGGGAAAATTTAGGAAAACACTAATAATTTAGAAAATAATAATTTATTTATAATTAATGAAAATTAATCGTGCGTATAGTTAGCAGAAATATGTAACATTTCTCGTTTTTTTTTATTGCAAAAGTTTGGAAACAATTTGGGAAAGTTTAGGAAAATAGTCTTATAATTTGGGAAATAATAATTATTACATAAATTTAATAAAAATAAAAATTAGTCACCATTGTGCGGTATCATTTTCTATATTATCGACTATGTATTTGTATTTTATTTTGACGCGCGGATTATAATTTACACAAAAATTCAAGTTATTTCCTGTTAATTTCCAGGTTAAACCTGTTATTTCCAATTATAATAAATCAAAAAGTTAATCAATATAAGCAAAAATTAATATTTTTGCTCGTATTGACGATTTATTTTTCATAAAATTAATCTATTTCGAAATTTAAGGTACTTTGGAAAAATAACAGATAAATTTATTAACCTAACATTGTCATAAAAATAATAATAATATTTAACTAAAATAATTATTTTTATTAAAATAATTATTTTATATTTTATATAATTGTAAATAACGTAAATAACAATTCAAAAGTCTTCCTGAAGAATCATTATCTATCCATGTATCTGCTAAGAACAATCTATTTAGTCTATTAAATCCATTTACAATGACAATAATTAGAAAATATAGTACTAAAAATTAGACATTACATTTTATAAAAATTTTAAAGAGAGAGAGAGAGAAAGAGAGAGAGAGAGAGAGAGAGAGAGAGAAAGAGAGAGAGAGAGAGAGAGAAAGAGAGAATGATATTTATCAATAATAAATTAAAGAAGAAGTGAGGGAATCGATGACACGAATATGAGTGGTGATGAGACATCCAGATTTTGTGGAGATAAAAAAGATTCCTGAAGTTGACGTAATAATTAGCAAAGAAGAAAAACCTATAAGAATTTCAACAGAAATCTGGAGCTAAAATTATTCATTCTATAAATGGATCAATAACTTTAATCAATAACTTTAATCAATATAAAAATGGTAGAAAAAGTATTAGAATTTTTAATGTAGTTTTTATCTTTTTTGAAATACATAATGTGTTAATATTACAGGTTTTTATATAAATAAATTATACATTAATATAAAAAAATTGTTTTCTACGGAAATAATTTTATTTTTTATTTCAGATTCAACAAGTTATAATTACATTATAAATACATTAAATATTAGGTATGGGAAAAAGTTTTTTTAATGCCATCTAACGGGAAAAATGCCACGAACTTTTTCATCTAATATGTTTAGTCAAATTAGAAATACTATAACTAATTAAGATGTAAATAAATAATACATGCTTCTTGCCATTTCAAAAAGTATCGTATGATCCATACAAATTTAGAAAGATTTATCAAACTTCACATGATTGCAGAAGACTCAATTAATGTTGATATGGAAAAATCTTTTCTGTTGTTCCGAACCGACTGAGCCAAGTGCATTTAGATAATCTAAATATAATAATCTGAAATGTGTATCATCATTACCAAGAGATATTGCATACTTTGAAACAAATATTAAAACAATCAATATTAAAGATATTCAAGCATTGCAAGACGCCGTCTTATTTTAATGAACATTATTACAATATTAAATGCAGACAAAAAAATTACCTAGGAACAGTTATTGATGTAACTCTTCCACACTTCCATATTTTTATTGATTTGGATAGAAACACATCACAAGAAATCTGGCTTGCAAGTTAGTATGGTTTGTAAGTTATTAGATGTTCCAGTTACACATTTTGTAAAACAGTGCAAATTGGCATATTTAACAAAATATATAGATATTGTTTATTATGTTGTTTTATTTGCTTATTTGAAACACATAAAAAGTTTCAATATTTCTATATTTCTTAGTTTCAGATTGATAGGTGTTATATTGAACACATTCCTGGTTACTTTATTACTGTCGAAAACTTTTAGACGATGGCTGAATTGTGATGATATGAAATCAAATATCGAAGCATGATGAGACAACGGTAATTATACCGATTGCAGCCTATTTAGCTCAAACTCATAGCGCTATGAGTGCAATAGAAAATTTGTGTCGCTGTATTAAATTCATCTTAAGAATACATGCACATTTCAATAAAAAATTCTCAATTATATCAGACAATATTTATATATATACATAATGTATTTATTGAATGTATTTTTATATATTTCTAATATATATCCAGAATAATCTAGAATACGAAGAAAGTTTTTCTAATGGTGGATTCAATCACTTGTACTACACTAGATTAGTGTATCTTAAAAGACTGCTTTATATAAATATTTATAAATGCAGTGCAAGCTAATGTTTTAAGTTATAATTGAATTATGAAGCTCTGTGTGCGCGTGCGTGCGTGCGCGCACACGTGCGTGTGTGTGAAGTAGGTTGTCTCAAAGTCTGCAAAATACTCATTGATGGCGACAATAACTTCCTCATTTGACGAAAATTTCTTCCCATCGAACCAAGTTTTTAAGTTTGGGAACAGAAAGGAGCGGAGCAAATCTGGAGAATTGGGTGGATGAGGAATCAATTCATAGCCCAATTCATAGTTTGTCATTGCAACGGTCGACCTGTGAGACGGCGCGTTGTCTTGATGGAAGAGTACTTTTTTGCGCGCCAATCTCGCTTCAAATGACTACCAAATGTGAACTGTGCGTCCTTTCTGACTGAAATTTGGCCTGAAGGGGTTCAAAGAGGATCTTTCGAGATGTCGCGTCATCAAATGGATTGTAGCGCCATGGAAATTTACCGAACTTATCAAACGACCCACATACTATTGATAAATATCATTCTCTCTCTCTCTCTCTCTCTCTCTCTCTCTCTCTCTCTTTCTCTCTCTCTCTCTTTAAAATTTCTATAAAATGTAATGTCTAATTTTTAGTACTAGATTTTTCTAATTATTGTCATTGTAAATGGATTTAATAGACTAAATAGACTGTTTTTAGCAGATATATGAGGAGATAATAATTCTTCAGGAAGACTTTTGAATTATTATTTATAACGTTATTTACAATTATATAAAATGAAAAATAAAGTCAGTAAAAATAATTATTTTAGTTAAATATTATTATTTTTATGACAATGTTAGGTTAATAAATTTATCTGTCATTTTTCCAAAATATAACCTTAAATTTCGAAATAGATTAATTTTATGAAAAATAAGTCATCAATATGAGCAAAAATATTAATTTTTGCTTATATTGACTAATTATTTTTGATTTACTATAATTAGAAATAACAGAATTACTTGGATTTTTATGTAAATTATAATTCGTGCGTTAAAATAAGATACAAGTACACAGTCGATAATATAGAAAATGATACCACACAATGGTGACTAATTTTTATTTTTATTAAATTTATGTAATAATTATTATTTCCCAAATTATAAGACTGTTTTCCTAAACTTTCTCAAATTGTTCCCAAAATGTTCTCAAATTGTTCTCAAATTGTTCTTTTATAATAAAAAAAAACGAAAAATGTTACATATTTCTGCTAACTATACGCATGATTAATTTACGTTAATTATAAATAAATTATTATTTCCTAAATTATGAGAATGTTTTCCTAAATTTTCCCAAACTATTTTCAAATTATTCCAATTAAAAATAATGAGAAATCTTATACTTGTCTGCTGTGACAAAATATGTGACGGTAACTGTCTTTACACGCCTACCGACAGTTGTCGATGTGTTGCGCAGATATTATATGATGAAAAAGCTGCGTAATGTGCATGCAAAACAGTTAGAATAGGAGCCCAGAATGTAAGAACCAACCAACTACAGTCGAGTATTCCTTTGTTACAATCGAACGATAGGGGAAACTCGACTGTAATTAGTTGGGTCTTACATACTGGGTTCGATTATGTAAAGTTTCCCCTAAGAATGAATATATAGAAAGAACAAATCACATGAATGTAATGAATAAGCGATAAAGTAACTTTTGGCTGATATAAAATGTGAAATAATTCACGGGAAATTTTTCGGTAACGAAATGCCTAAAATATGAAATTCTAATTATTTTTTTAAATTAAATAAGTAAATTGATATAAATTAGCTTGTTTTTTGATCTTTTAATCTGTTTTCCTATATTAGATTACAACTCAAACTCTCTTGACAAATATCAAATATATTTGAATATCTATTTGAAATGGATATTGCGTAGTT